CCCAAGAGACGGAGGTTGCAGTGAGCTGAGATCATGCCACTGCACTCCAGCCTGGGTGACAGAGTGACATTCCATCTCAAAAAAAAAAAAAAAAATTAGCCAGGAGTGGTGGCCTCCACCTGTGGTACCAGCTACTTGGGAGGCTAAAGTGGGAGGGTTGCCCGAGCCTGGGAGTTGGAGGCTACAATAAGCCATGATCATACCACTGCACTCCAGCCTGGGTAAGAGAGTAAGACTTTATATTAAAATAAAATAAAAACGGTTAAAGGCTTTGCTCAAGGTCACACAAGTAGTGACAAAATTGGGTCTGTCTTGGTCTCCACTCCTAGTCTAATGGAGGGTCCCTATTTGTATTCTAATGGTGGATCTCTGCGGGTGCGGGGTTGGGGCGGGGTCTGTCTTCCTTTACTGAGAAAGAGGATAATATCCTGTTCTTCAAATACAGGGAATAGGGAACAAAAGAATTTTAAATCAATAGGAACTCAAATGACCAGAACCTGGTTTTAAATCTTAGCCTTTTTTCTCCAAGGGAAGAAGCTGTGGTAGGAAACAAGCATTTTCCTGTATTCTTTCCTTAGTGGAACACCTGTGAGACTTCATGAGACCTCATGGCTCTAACACTTCTAACTACAACCTTTAGTTATAAAATTGGGAACGTTCTGAAGGGGAATTTTTACATTTAGTCTTCTTAAGCCAAGACTAAATGTAAAATATTCCCTCACTCCTGAACATCCAACAGAGGAAGAGCATTATAAAAGCAAGAACCTTGGTAGGCAAAACAGGATTCTATTTCTTTATCCAATTTAACAAATATTTATAAATACTATCTACTTTGTGCCAGGCACCGTTTTAAGGGCTTTAAAAGTATTAGTTTGTTTAATCCCCACAGTATCCCTAGAAGATGCTTGTCAGCTAGAAGAACGCATCAGGAAGTTTTCTGAGAGTACTGGAGGAGTTTGAATAATGTGCTGGGTCTGTAGATTGAGTGATGTTGGTGTAGACAGAGTGATGATGGTGTAGATTGAGTGATAATGGTGCAGATTGAGTGATGATGGCATAGGCTGAGTGACTGGTGCAGATTGAGTGATGACCGTGTAGATTGAGTGATGATGGCATACATTCAGTGATGATAGCACAGACTGAGTGATGATAGTGCAGATTGAGTGATGAT